CCCAGGGCAGCTCCCCCCTCCCACGGCCGGCTCCCGTAGGGCCTCCGAGTCTCAGCGGGGAAAGCAGAGGCAGGCAAGAGGGCTGGGACGGGCTCCGGGGGCCATGGAAGCCTCTGCGCAGCCTGTGGTCTACCAGAAGCTGCTGCTCTGGGAGCCAAGCCTGGAGCTAGAAGAGGAGGAGGATGAGGAGGAGATATCGATGCCGCTGGTTCTGGACCTCTGGCAGCCTCAGGACTCTGGGTGAGTCAGGGAGGGCTCTGGGCACCCGGGTCCTCAGGCTTGAGGCTAGCAAGTCCCTGCCTCTGGAGCCCTACAGGGTACCAGGCAGCACCGTGCTTGGTTCAACTCCAGGAACTTTCTGGTTGAATGGGGGAAACAGGTTACAGCCCGACCTGGCCTGAGCCAGCCAATCAGAGGCCCGTGCCTCTGAAGGGCTGCAGTAGCGGGCTAGCCCCGTCCTGGCTGAGGCTCTGCTGAAGGTTCCCAGCCTCCAACCCCTGGTACGGGAGGCACCTGCTGGGCAGGTTGGGGCCTGGCTTCACCTGGCTGGGCCCTGCTCCTCAGCCTCATCTCCCCGCCTGCCAGGCCACAGCTCCACTGCTCCAGCCTCCTCTGCCGGGACTCCCTCAGCCACCTCCATCTCCCCAAGCTTTCCCCACCTCTGTGTTCACCACGCCGTGCCCTCTGCCTGGAAGCCCTTTTCTCTGCGGCAAACTCATGCTCTTCTTGCAAGATCAGCCCCTCTGGGGAAACATTCCCTGGGTTCTCTTGGAGGTACTGGGGGTCCCCTGCCCCAGCCTGGCTCAGACACCCCTTTCTTTACGAACAGGGCAGGTGGGCTGCTGGGGGTCTGGGTCCGGCTAGGGGCAGCGCTGCTGCTGCTGGTCCTTGGCTGCGCCCTGGCAGCCAGGCAGTTCCAAGCCAAGGCTGGCTCCACAGGAAGCTTGGGCTCTGCAACCCCTCGGCCCAGCGGACACGCCCATCGCCCGGGCGTGTTCCACCATGGCGCCGCCATCAGTCCCACAGGTCAGTGCTGGGGAAGGGGAGGTTGGGGGTCACTGGTCTCAGTCCCACCCATGACAGTCTCTGTTCCTGCAGCCACATGTTCCCACCTGGGCCGAGAGCTGCTGGTGGCCGGGGGCAACGTCGTGGATGCTGGAGTTGGAGCTGCTTTGTGCCTGGCGGTGGTGCATCCTCATGCCACGGGGCTAGGTCAGTGACCTTGGGCTCAGGCACTCAGTGGGCCTGATCTTAAGGCCGATGAGTGAGCAGGACTAGAATGTGGCCAGTGGTCCCAACCCTGGACTGCAACCCTTGACCCCAGGTCAGGGTCAAGTGACTTCAAATCCCAGGTTCACTCAAACAAGTTGGTGACCTTTCACCTGAGCCACTGAGTGCCCTGACTCCAACCCTGGCCAGGGCCCTGACTCGTGTGTGTCCCCCTTGTCTCCCAGGTGCCACCTTCTGGGGCCTCTTCCTCAATAGCTCCTCGGGCAACGTGACTGCCCTGACGTCAGGCCCAGCCCGGACCCTGGCCCCTGGCCTGGGGCTGCCTGCAGCTCTGCCCACCCTGCACTTGCTGCACACACACTTCGGCCGCCTACCCTGGCCACGCCTGCTGGAGGGCCCCATCATGCTGGCTGAGGAGGGCTTCGAGGTGGACGCAGCCCTGGCAAGGGCTCTGACCGCCCAGGGCACCAAGGGCCTCTGCCCACTGCTTTGCCACACCAACGGGACATTCCTGGGCCTTGGGGCCCGGGCCACCAACCCAAAACTGGCAGCCGTGCTCCGCAGGGCAACACTCACCCCTACCCTGGACCTTGCTGAGGGTGCCCTACTGAGTCTACTAGCCAGAGATCTGGGGCTGGAGGGGCCCTCGGTCGGGCCCACACCCACCTTGGAGCCAGCGCTGCAGCTACCTATGCCGCAGGGCACCCTGTTCACCACCCCCGGTCCCTCAGCCGGCCCAGACCTGCTGGCCCTGCTGAGAGCAGCCCTCCACTCCGGGGTCCCCAGCCCTGACCCATGCCCACTGCTCCTGCCAACTTCTGGGACCCCCGAGAGCAGCGTCCTGGCCACCGTGGACAGCAGCGGCTCTGTGCTCCTTCTCGCCTCCTCACTCAACAGCTCCTTTGGTTCCGGACATCTGTCCCCAAGCACCGGGGTTCTACTTAACAACCTGGAGGCCGGGTCTGCAGCTGGCGCCTGGGCCTGCCCCCTCATCCTCCAGGGTGGCCTGGATGACACAGAGGCCGACGTGTTGGGGCTGGTAGCTTCAGGGACCCCTTCAGTGGCCAGAGCCATGACTCACGCCCTGCTCCGCCATTTGGCAGGGCCCCAAACCCAGGTCCAGCAAGGGCTGACAGAGAGCCATAGCGCTTGTGGCCAAGGGACCCTGCTCCAGGTGGCAGTCCACGCTGAGCATGCCCACGTGGCCAGTGTGCCCGATGGCTGCTGCCCTTTCCAGGGTTTCTAACAGGGGTTGACGGGGTCTGGCAGGGGTGGAGCAGACACAGCAGCGACAGAACTCACAAAGAGCACACATCTGTTCCGTGCTCACTGCTGCCCAGGACCCGGCCCTGCCCTGACCAGTTCCCTGGACTCGAGTTCTGGCATCCAAGGCTAGCTCAATCATCCTACAAAGCACGCTTGCTGGATAGACTCACTGACTCTCCCATCCACTAAGAAAACAGGATAAAGAAGAAAGAGCAATAGGGCGTGGCGCTAGCCCTGAGCTCAGATCCAGCTCTGGCAAGCACAGGGGAGGAACTCCAAGCTCCCCAGGTCCCTGGCTCCACGCAGCAGGGCAGGTGAGCCCCGGGACTGTCCAGACCACCCTCCGCTGAGCACTCTCAACTGGACTGGAAACAAAATAAACACCAATCTCCAGGATATCAAGTGCCATTCTTGCTTCTTAATTTCCCGTCAGTCTTTGAGGTGCCTGATGTCAGGGCTTTCCCCATGGACAGCACGGGTGACCAACACCCAGAGAGGGGCAGAGCCTGGCTGTGCCTTTCCACTTCTGCTCTGCACCCCTTCGGCCTCCTGGGACACCATACGCAAAGGTAAATTTCTCATTTTCTAGAACACACAGCAGAGCACAGGAGGAGGTGGGAGGGTGAGCAGCAGGTGCCCCAGGGACTAGGGTGCAAAGGCTGGAGCTGCGTATGTGGAATTTAAAGGCCAAGTTTGGCCCCAACCTCCTGCCTTGGGCTGGGTCTCTCTGGAAACAAATCCCTACAAACATCTTCTCAAAACAAGAAGCAGGGGTGTCCAACTTTTCCTCCCCGGCCATTATAAAAGGCATCTCTCTGATTTAACAGAACTCTTTTTCTTAAGAGACATTTTTGCTATAGGACACATGTGCTCGCTGGAGAAACAGAGAGAGAGAAAGTGAGAAATCACCCCTTGGGGGGATGGCCACACCACAGTCCCTTCTCCTCCATTCTCCTCTCGGGATCTTGGGCACGCACACATGTGCCCGGCGTGAGTTTTAAGTTGCTGGGTCTGGGACTCAAACTGAGGCTGACTACCTGGGAGCCCAGCAACATAACCACTACGCCATCTGCTGGTCCCGATTTAACAGAACTCTGATTCCACCATCTCCACTTTCACCCCACTGTAGAAAATTCTTCCCCAGCTCTGTAAATGGTACCACAATCTGCCCAGCTACTTCAGCCCCAAACCTGGCACCTTTTCTTTTCCTTGTCACCGACATCCAATCCATCCATCCAATCCAACTCCAACCCGCGCCCACAGTTTGATTAGTTCTCATATTACCTTGGCCCAGAGTCCACCACTGCCTCTCTGCTCGTCTCCGATGCCTACAATCCATCCACCTCAGCGACCTGAATAGTTTTTTTTTTTTTTTAAGACTTTTGTCATAGGATGTGTATGCTCGCCAGAGAGAGAGAGACAGTGAGAGGGAAAGTGAGAAATCACCCCCCCCCCCCGGGGGCATGGCCATACTGGGATTTTGGGCAAGCATGCACAAGCGCCCTTATGTGAGTTTCAAGCCACTGGGTTCAGAACTCTAACCACAGTCAGCCAAGAGGGACTCGAGCGCCTTAACCACTATGCCATCTCCTGGTCCCATGTAAATCTGGTGACCTCCTGTTTGGCATAAAACCCCCCACAGTGACCTCCCATTACCCAGAATGAACTCCAGACTCCTGATCCTGGCCTTGGGTCCTGGCCTTGCTTCTCTTACCCACCTTGCCAACGTCATCCCCCTCAGCTCCGAGGCTTTGCTAGCTGCTGTGACCTCTGTGTGGGATCTTGTTTCCTGTTAGATCTTTGCTCTGGAGGAGAGAAAGCATCCCTCTTGTCACTCAGCTATCAGCCCAAATAGCACCTCCTTGACTCCTAGACTACCCCCTGAAATCAGTATCACAGAGCCTCTTGACTTCGGATTTTTAATTAGCAGTGTTTTTAACAGGCAATGCATTCAGGGGTTTCAAAACTCAAAGGTCCCCCTGTGACTCCTGCATACCCTTTCTTTACGTTCTTCCTAATTATTACTACGTTGTATGCAGCTCTTGTCCATCTGCTGTCTCCTCCCACTAGGAAGTCCATAAAGCAGTGGCTGTGCTCCAACTCCCAGCGCATAGTGGGGATTCAGTAATTGTTTAAAAGGTCAGCGTTTGAAGTGCAGGGGCCGTTCTGGGACGAGATGGATCGATCTGCTTCACTTGGACCGTTTTCCGAGATGAGTGCCCCTGAAAGTGAGGAGTCCTTGCCGCAGCAGCGGGTAGAGAGGTGTGAGCAAACATTACGTGGCCGCCCGGCGAGATGAGATGCTCCGACTACGTTTTCCCACCCTGAAGACGGACGGCAGCGGTACTTCCCTGGCCCCGGGCCCCCCCCCCCCCCCCCCCCAGTCACAAACCTAACCACGCCCCCTCCAGGCCCCGCCCCTCTCTCAGCTCCCCGGTTTCCCTCGTCTGTCGACCCAAGCCATTGCGCGTGCGCCGCGATCTGACCCGGAAGCAGCTGCCTCCAGAGCCCACGTGTTTCTGGAAGCATGGCGGAGATGGAGAGTCAGGACGGTGCTGAGCCTATGTCTCCCGGGGAGGCGACGCCGAATGGGGCCCGGCCCGCC